CTGCTGCTGCTGCTGCTGCTGCTGCTGCTGCTGCTGCTGTTTCTCCCCCTGTTTGTCCTACAGTAAGGAGGAAATCGTTGAGGCTGATGAAGCCGTCTCCGTCTATATCGAACCTGCTGCAGATGTCATGCTGCTGCTGCTGCTGCTGCTGCTGGTGCTGCTGCTGCTGCAGCGGGAGCCCCAGCCACCTAAGCCCAGCAGCAAACTGCGCATGCGTGAGCTGTCCCCTATTTAATACATCAAAGAGACGAAAAGCATCGTAAGGAGACAGTTGTTTTTTTCTTAGTTTGTCTCTGAGTCTAGCAACAAAAGCTTTATGCTGCAGCAGCTGTGTACCCCCATCTGCTGCTGCTGCTGCTAGCAGCAACTCTGCTGCTGGTAGCTGCTGCCACACCACCTGCTGCTGCCGTCTCCTGCATCGACGTATAGAGAAAAAGAACTCCTGTCTCTCCTTCGCGGAGACACCTGAGAGCACCCGCTGCAGCAGCAGCAGATGAGAGCCAGAGTATAGCAGCTGACTGTCTATAAAACGAAGACATGCATGCGCTGTCTGCTGCTGCAGTCCTGCTGCAGCAGCAACCTTCTCTTCTCTTTTATTAAATAAAGGAGACCCATCAACCATAGCAAAGCTAGCCGTTACGTTATGGAGACACACAGCAACACGGTGACCAGCAACCAGAGACGCAAACTGCTGCTGCTGCTGCTGCTGCTGCTGCTGCTGCTGCTGCTGCTGCTGCTGGCGCTGTCGTGCATGCAGTGCAGCACGAACTGCTTCTCCTTCTGCCAGCGTCAACACCACAAAGTAGCGGCCCGGCTGCTCAGCACAGAAAGGAGACTGCAGCAGAGCTGAAGACAACTCAGACAGGGTAAAATGCAACTCTTCCTCCTGCTGCTGCTGCTGCTGCTGCTGCTGCTGCTGCTGCTGCTGCTGCTGCTGCTGCTGCTGATAAGACATCTGGGAAGTGAAAGGGTCTGAAGAAGAAGAGGGGAAGGAGAAGGAGGAAGACAAGAGACTGTGCGGCTGCTGCTGCTGCTGCCTCTGCTGCTGCTGCTGCTGCTGCTGCTGCTGCTGCTGCTGGTGTGGTCCAGTGGACACATCGAAGAGGCCTAGAAGGTCGCTCTGCTCTCTGGATGAGGAGGGAGGAGAAGAGACAGCAGCAAAGACAGACAAACTGTCTCCTTTCTTCTTGCTGCTGTCTCCTTGTGAAAGAGACCCAAACAAGTCTGCAAGCGGATCAGCAGC